AGGGGAGAGTAGAGTAGGGTAGAGTAAAGTAGAGTAGATAAGAGTAGAGTAAAGTAGAGTAGATAAGAGTAGAGTAGAGAAGAGTAGGGTAGAGTAGAGTAGATTAGGGTAGAGTAGAGTAGGGTAGAGTAGATTAGAGTACAGTAGGGGAGAGTAAAGTAGAGTAAAGTAAAGTAGAGTAGAGTAGTGTAGTGTAGTGTAGTGTAGAGTAGAGTAGGGTACAGTAGAGTAGAGTACAGTAGGGGAGAGTAAAGTAGAGTAGAGTAGGGGAGAGTAAAGTAGAGTAGAGTAGGGGAGAGTAAAGTAGAGTAGTGTAGGGTAGAGTAGGGTACAGTAGGGTAGGGTAGAGTAGGGTAATGCCTTGTAATGTCACGTAAACGCCAGTAGGGGGCAAAGGTCATCAACAAATACTTACACATGACTCAAAGAAACACAAACTTCACACTTTCACCGACTCTAACTTTACAAACTTCCAAACACATTAAAAGAAAATCTCCTTCTATCTCCCGTTGTATCCGCTAAAGCTAACCTTCCCAAATACTACACAATACATTTTTATTCGCAAAACAACAACAAACCCAAACCCTCTCTCCTCCGCTGACCCCGGCCTCCTCTGAGATCTCTCACTACAAAGATTGTGTATTGTTTTGTCTGGATCCCACTCCTCACACCTCAAACCCCCGAGCGAGAGGGAAGAGGGGACGCCGCTCTGCACGGAGGTCCCTGAAGGCATCGCACACTCGTAAAACACATACACACACACACACTGGAATGATGTGTGTGTGTGTGTGTGTGTGTGTTGTCGTCTCTGAGGTCATGAGGCGGAGAGAGAAGAGAGTACAGAGGTGACGACTGGTTTATTGTGCGCTGCAAATGTTTTCTCTGATGTTTTGTGTGGATTTAAAGGAAATAGAGTGGAATCTAGTTCACCCGTCTGTGGTTGAAATGATGCATTTAAAAACAGAGAGAGAGAGACCAGAGAGAGAGAGAGAGACCAGAGAGAGAGAGACCGGAGAGAGAGAGAGACCAGAGAGAGAGAGAGACCGGAGAGAGAGAGAGGCCAGAGAGAGAGAGAGACCAGAGAGAGAGAGAGGCCAGAGAGAGAGAGAGACCAGAGAGAGAGAGAGACCAGAGAGAGAGAGAGACCGGAGAGAGAGAGAGGCCAGAGAGAGACAAGAGAGAGAGAGAGAGACCAGAGAGCGAGACCAGAGAGAGAGCGAGACCAGAGAGAGAGAGAGACCAGAGAGAGAGAGAGGCCAGAGAGAGACGAGAGAGCAGAAAGAGAGACCAGAGAGAGTGAGACCGGAGAGAGAGAGAGGCCAGAGAGAGACCGAGAGAGACCAGAGAGAGATCAGAGAGAGACCAGAGAGAGAGAGAGACCAGAGAGAGACTGAGAGAGACCAGAGAGAGAGAGAGGCCAGAGAGAGAGACCAGAGAGAGACAAGAGAGATACCAGAGAGAGACCAGAGAGAGACAAGAGAGAGAGCAGAGAGAGAGAGAGAGAGACCAGAGAGAGATCAGAAAGAGACCAGAGAGAGACCAGAGAGAGACCAGAGAGAGACCAGAGAGACCAGAGAGAGACCAGAGGGAGAGCAGAGAGAGACCAGAGAGAGACCAGAGAGAGAGCAGAGAGAGACCAGAGAGAGAGACCAGAGAGAGAGAGAGAGAGAGACCAGAGAGGGACCAGAGATAGAGAGAAATCGGCCAGAGAGAGACCAGAGAGGAGGTCCAAAGGAAACAGCTCGAGCAGAGAGCGTGGGCGAGAGTCGGGGAAGAAGAGAGAGCACTTTGCCAATGAACAGTATATTTGTTTTGAGTTGGGCCAAACCAAGTGACCAGGAGAAACAGGTTTGGTTCAGTCCAAGTTTTTAGTAGAGGAAGTAAAACTCAATCTTCTAAAAAGTCTCCCCAAAAAGTCCATGGTGATTCCAGATGAAGAGTAGATCATTTTTAAACCAGAGAGGGACCAGAGAGGGACCAGAGAGGGACCAGAGAGGGACCAGAGAGGGACCAGAGAGGGACCAGAGAGAGATCAAAGAGAGACCAAAGAGAGACCAGGGAGAGACCAGGGAGAGACCAGAGAGAGACCAAAGAGAGACCAGGGAGAGGACAGAGAGAGACAAGAGAGAGACCAGAGAGAGACCAGAGAGAGACCAGAAAGAGATCAGAGAGAGACCAGAGAGAGACCAGAGAGAGACAAGAGAGAGACAAGAGAGAGACCAGAGAGAGACAAGAGAGAGACAAGAGAGAGACAAGAGAGAGACCAGAAAGAGATCAGAGAGAGAGACCAGAGTGGGACCAGAGAGAGAGAGAGACCAGAGAGGGACCAGAGAGGGACCAGAGAGGGACCAGAGAGAGATCAAAGAGAGACCAAAGAGAGACCAGGGAGAGACCAGGGAGAGACCAGGGAGAGACTAGAGAGAGACCAAAGAGAGACCAGGGAGAGGACAGAGAGAGACAAGAGAGAGACCAGAGAGAGACCAGAGAGAGACCAGAGAGAGACAAGAGAGAGACCAGAAAAAGATCAGAGAAAGAGACCAGAGTGGGACCAGAGAGAGACCAAAGAGAGACCAGAGAGGGACCAGAGAGGGACCAGAGAGAGATCAAAGAGAGACCAAAGAGAGACTAGAGAGAGACCAAAGAGAGACCAGAGAGAGACCAGAAAGAGATCAGAGAGAGACCAGAGAGAGACCAGAGAGAGACCAGAGAGAGACCAGAAAGAGATCAGAGAGAGACCAGAGAGAGACCAGAGAGAGACCAGAAAGAGATCAGAGAGAGAGACCAGAGTGGGACCAGAGAGAGACCAAAGAGGGACCAGAGAGGGACCAGAGAGAGATCAAAGAGAGACCAAAGAGAGACCAGGGAGAGACCAGGGAGAGACTAGAGAGACACCAAAGAGAGACCAAAGAGAGACCAGAGAGGACAGAGAGACACAAGAGAGAGACCAGAGAGAGACCAGAAAGAGATCAGAGAGAGACAAGAGAGAGACCAGAGAGAGACCAGAGAGAGACCAGAGAGAGACCAGAAAGAGATCAGAGAGAGACAAGAGAGAGACAAGAGAGAGACAAGAGAGAGACCAGAGAGAGACCAGAAAGAGACCAGAGAGAGACCAGAGAGAGACCAGAGAGAGACAAGAGAGAGACAAGAGAGAGACAAGAGAGAGACAAGAGAGAGACCAGAAAGAGACCAGAGAGAGACCAGAAAGAGACCAGAGAGAGACCAGAGAGAGACCAGAGAGAGACCAGAAAGAGACCAGAGAGAGACCAGAGAGAGACCTGAGAGAGACCAGAAAGAGACCAGAGAGAGACCAGAGAGAGACCAGAGAGAGACCAGAAAGAGATCAGAGAGAGACAAGAGAGAGACAAGAGAGAGACAAGAGAGAGACCAGAGAGAGACCAGAAAGAGACCAGAGAGAGACCAGAGAGAGACCAGAGAGAGACAAGAGAGAGACAAGAGGATGACCGGCACTCTCTCCTTTCCTCAAAACCATAAACGAGAGAAAGACCAGAGAAGGACCGGCACAACAATCTCTCCTCTCCTCACACATGACGACCGGCACAACACCCATAAACTCCCTGATTGCCCCGGTTCACATTGAAACATTTAACGGCTTGCTTTGGAGCGCGCGGTAATGGCCGGGCGCGGGCATATGTTAATTCCCCCTGACCTGTCGCGCAAGCTAACGGCTAATTGTCTCCGGTGGATGACATTCCGAGATGACTGCCGCCGCCGTACGGGCCAATTAACAGCCGCGAGCGTGGAATCGCATCGCAGCCGACGGGCGACGCTTGTTGGCAGATTTCAAGCCGATTTCCAGATGGAGAAGTCAGAAGCGGCCGGTCCCTGAACGGAACGAGACCGAGGTTTTTTTTTTGGTGATTGGTGATTTATGCGGCGGGAATGTGGGGAACAGATTAACAATTAAAACGATGGTAAAGTCACATGGGACAGATTGGGGAGGAGTGAAATTCTCATTCAGATTCATAGACAAGGGAGATAAAAGAGAGAGGAGAGAAGAGAGACGAGAGAGAGAGAAGAGAGAGAGAGACTAGGGAGAGAGAAGAGAGAGACTAGGGAGAGAGAGACTAGAAAGAGAGAAGAGAGAGAGAGAGAAGAGAGACTAGAGAGAGAGAAGAGAGACTAGGGAGAGAGACGAGAGAGAGAAGAGAGAGAGAGACTAGGGAGAGAGAAGAGAGAGACTAGGGAGAGAGAAGAGAAGGACTAGAGAGAGAGAAGATAGACTATAGAGAGAGATGAAAGAGAGAAGAGAGAGAGACTAGGGAGAGAGATGAGAGAGAATAGGGAGAGAAAAGAGAGAGAAGAGAAGAAAGAGAGAGACCAGAGAGATACTAAAGAGGGACCAGAGAGAGACCAGAGAGAGACCAGAGAGAGACCAGAGAGAGACCAGTGAGAGACCAGAGAGAGACCAGAGAGAGACCAGAGAGAGACCAGAGAGAGACCAGAGAGAAACCAGAGAGAGACCAGAGAGAGAGACCAGAGAGAGACCAGAGAGAGACCAGAGAGAGACCAGAGAGAGACCAGAGAGAGACCAGAGAGAGACCAGAGAGAAACCAGAGAGAGACCAGAGAGAGAGACCAGAGAGAGACCAGAGAGAGACCAGAGAGAGACCAGAGAGAGACCAGAGAGAGACCAGAGAGAGACCAGAGAGAGACCAGAGAGAGACTAAAGAGGGCGTTATTTTAATGTGTGTCTTGTTAATTATCTCGTCATGACCTCAGAGAAAGCGTTTGTGTTCAGGCTCAGGCCCAAACCAAGAGGGAGCGAGAGAAAAAAGATTAAGTATTAATGATAAATGCAGTTAGATAGTAATAATAATAATAATAATAATAATGATAATAATAATAATAATAATAATAATAATAATAATAATAATAATACATATAAAAGTAATTTACACAAAAGGGAGAGATACAATGAAATGAAATGAAATTATTATTGTGGCTGGTTTAGTCCTCTCCTGGTCCTCTTCTGGTCCAACCATGTGGCTCGGTCAGTCCTCTCCTGGTTCCTCACATAGTTTGAGGCCACTGCAGGATCAGAGTCTTGGCCTCTGGTTTGACTTTCTCTCTGTGTGAAAATGTTGGAGCTGCTTTAAACTGGGACAAAAGACAAAGCTCAGAATATTTATCTCAGAAAACCTCCACAGAAGAGTCTGAGTCTGTGAAACCTGGGAGAGAAACCTCCACAGAAGAGTCTGAGTCTGTGAAACCTGGGAGAGAAACCTCCACAGAAGAGTCTGAGTCTGTGAAACCTGGGAGAGAAACCTCCACAGAAGAGTTTGAGTCTGTGAAACCTGGGAGAGAAACCTCCACAGAAGAGTTTGAGTCTGTGAAACCTGGGAGAGAAACCTCCACAGAAGAGTCTGAGTCTGTGAAACCTGGGAGAGAAACCTCCACAGAAGAGTCTGAGTCTGTGAAACCTGGGAGAGAAACCTCCACAGAAGAGTCTGAGTCTGAGAAACCTGGGAGAGAAACCTCCACAGAAGAGTTTGAGTCTGAGAAACCTGGGAGAGAAACCTCCACAGAAGAGTTTGAGTCTGAGAAACCTGGGAGAGAAACCTCCACAGAAGAGTCTGAGTCTGTGAAACCTGGGAGAGAAACCTCCACAGAAGAGTCTGAGTCTGTGAAACCTGGGAGAGAAACCTCCACAGAAGAGTCTGAGTCTGTGAAACCTGGGAGAGAAACCTCCACAGAAGAGTCTGAGTCTGTGAAACCTGGGAGAGAAACCTCCACAGAAGAGTCTGAGTCTGTGAAACCTGGGAGAGAAACCTCCACAGAAGAGTCTGAGTCTGTGAAACCTGGGAGAGAAACCTCCACAGAAGAGTCTGAGTCTGAGAAACCTGGGAGAGAAACCTCCACAGAAGAGTCTGAGTCTGAGAAACCTGGGAGAGAAACCTCCACAGAAGAGTTTGAGTCTGTGAAACCTGGGAGAGAAACCTCCACAGAAGAGTTTGAGTCTGTGAAACCTGGGAGAGAAACCTCCACAGAAGAGTCTGAGTCTGTGAAACCTGGGAGAGAAACCTCCACAGAAGAGTCTGAGTCTGTGAAACCTGGGAGAGAAACCTCCACAGAAGAGTCTGAGTCTGTGAAACCTGGGAGAGAAACCTCCACAGAAGAGTCTGAGTCTGAGAAATCTGGGAGAGAAACCTCCACAGAAGAGTCTGAGTCTGTGAAACCTGGGAGAGAAACCTCCACAGAAGAGTCTGAGTCTGAGAAACCTGGGAGAGAAACCTCCACAGAAGAGTTTGAGTCTGAGAAACCTGGGAGAGAAACCTCCACAGAAGAGTCTGAGTCTGAGAAACCTGGGAGAGAAACCTCCACAGAAGAGTTTGAGTCTGAGAAACCTGGGAGAGAAACCTCCACAGAAGAGTCTGAGTCTGTGAAACCTGGGAGAGAAACCTCCACAGAAGAGTTTGAGTCTGTGAAACCTGGGAGAGAAACCTCCACAGAAGAGTTTGAGTCTGTGAAACCTGGGAGAGAAACCTCCACAGAAGAGTCTGAGTCTGTGAAACCTGGGAGAGAAACCTCCACAGAAGAGTCTGAGTCTGTGAAACCTGGGAGAGAAACCTCCACAGAAGAGTCTGAGTCTGAGAAACCTGGGAGAGAAACCTCCACAGAAGAGTTTGAGTCTGAGAAACCTGGGAGAGAAACCTCCACAGAAGAGTTTGAGTCTGAGAAACCTGGGAGAGAAACCTCCACAGAAGAGTCTGAGTCTGTGAAACCTGGGAGAGAAACCTCCACAGAAGAGTCTGAGTCTGTGAAACCTGGGAGAGAAACCTCCACAGAAGAGTCTGAGTCTGTGAAACCTGGGAGAGAAACCTCCACAGAAGAGTCTGAGTCTGTGAAACCTGGGAGAGAAACCTCCACAGAAGAGTCTGAGTCTGTGAAACCTGGGAGAGAAACCTCCACAGAAGAGTCTGAGTCTGTGAAACCTGGGAGAGAAACCTCCACAGAAGAGTCTGAGTCTGAGAAACCTGGGAGAGAAACCTCCACAGAAGAGTCTGAGTCTGAGAAACCTGGGAGAGAAACCTCCACAGAAGAGTTTGAGTCTGTGAAACCTGGGAGAGAAACCTCCACAGAAGAGTTTGAGTCTGTGAAACCTGGGAGAGAAACCTCCACAGAAGAGTCTGAGTCTGTGAAACCTGGGAGAGAAACCTCCACAGAAGAGTCTGAGTCTGTGAAACCTGGGAGAGAAACCTCCACAGAAGAGTCTGAGTCTGTGAAACCTGGGAGAGAAACCTCCACAGAAGAGTCTGAGTCTGAGAAACCTGGGAGAGAAACCTCCACAGAAGAGTCTGAGTCTGTGAAACCTGGGAGAGAAACCTCCACAGAAGAGTCTGAGTCTGAGAAACCTGGGAGAGAAACCTCCACAGAAGAGTTTGAGTCTGAGAAACCTGGGAGAGAAACCTCCACAGAAGAGTCTGAGTCTGAGAAACCTGGGAGAGAAACCTCCACAGAAGAGTTTGAGTCTGAGAAACCTGGGAGAGAAACCTCCACAGAAGAGTCTGAGTCTGTGAAATCTGGGAGAGAAACCTCCACAGAAGAGTTTGAGTCTGTGAAACCTGGGAGAGAAACCTCCACAGAAGAGTCTGAGTCTGTGAAACCTGGGAGAGAAACCTCCACAGAAGAGTTTGAGTCTGAGAAACCTGGGAGAGAAACCTCCACAGAAGAGTCTGAGTCTGTGAAACCTGGGAGAGAAACCTCCACAGAAGAGTTTGAGTCTGAGAAACCTGGGAGAGAAACCTCCACAGAAGAGTCTGAGTCTGTGAAACCTGGGAGAGAAACCTCCACAGAAGAGTTTGAGTCTGTGAAACCTGGGAGAGAAACCTCCAGAGAAGAGTCTGAGTCTGTGAAACCTGGGAGAGAAACCTCCACAGAAGAGTTTGAGTCTGTGAAACCTGGGAGAGAAACCTCCACAGAAGAGTCTGAGTCTGAGAAACCTGGGAGAGAAACCTCCACAGAAGAGTTTGAGTCTGTGAAACCTGGGAGAGAAACCTCCACAGAAGAGTCTGAGTCTGAGAAACCTGGGAGAGAAACCTCCACAGAAGAGTCTGAGTCTAAAGTTCAAACCATTTATCAAAACTTACAGATAATTTATTAATGTTGTACTGGACAGAAATGGTCTGTGTGTGTGTGTGTGTGTGCGTGTGTGTGTGTGTGTGTGTGCGTGTGCGTGTGCGTATGCGTGTGCGTGTGTGTGTGTGTGTGTGTGTGTGTGTGTGCGCGTGCGTGTGCGTATGTGTGTGTGTGTGTGTGTGTGTGTGTGTGTGTATCTGTGTGTGTGTCTGTGTGTGTGTGTGTGGGTCTGTGTGTGTGTCTGTGTGTGTGTGTGTGTGGGTCTGTTTGTGTGTGTGTGCGTGTGTGTGCGTGCATGCGTGTGTGTATCTGTGTGTGTCTGTGTGTGTGTGTGCCTGTGTGTGTCTGTGTGTGTGTGTGTGTGTGTGTATGTGTGTGTGCCTGTGTCTGTGTGTGTGTGTATCTGTGTGTGTGTGTATCTGTGTGTGTCTGTGTGTTTGTGTGTGTGTGTCTGTATGTGTGTGTGCCTGTGTCTGTGTGTATCTGTGTGTGTGTGTATCTGTGTGTGTCTGTGTGTGTGTGTATCTGTGTGTGCGAGTGTGTGTTTAAACTGTGCCGTCACCTTTCTACACAGACTTAATTACGCGAAATGACAGAAAAACACACAATTTTAGTGAATATTGACTCCCACCGAGCGGCGACCGAGCGGAAACACAAAAACGCACAAAAACACACAATCTCACCGCTGCTAAAGCAGTGGCTCAGGTGCTCGCTGAAATAACTCGTTTTTGGCGTCTCTTTTTTGGCAAATGAGGCTAAAGAACAGACTGCGGCGGCTTTGAACCCAGACATTAGTGACTTTGGGTGTTTTGCTTTTGTTAAAATGGCAGCCAATAAAACAACACACATATTTTAAAAACATGGAGCTAGCAAAAAAAGTCCTCAATCGCTTCCAATTGTCGCCGTTACAGATTGGAGCGTTTACAAAGCGCCGTGCCACGTTGGAGAAACACACTTCCTTTTGAAGATAGATTCGCTGATTAAGTTCTCACAGTTTTTCGACTTTGCTCATTTCTTTTGCAATCTGCTGCTCTGTTCTGGGAAATCAACCGCAAAGATTATTTAGGATCGTTTGGCAAAAATAAATTCAGAAATGTGAAATCTGGGCGGAAATGTTTACAGCGTTCATTATAACTGCAACTTACCTTTTTTTGTCTATTACTGTGGAAATGTCTCAGCAAGAAGGGTTCGAATCCCGGGTGGAACAGGTGGAGTGGAGTTTGCATGTTCTCCCCGTCTCGGCGTAGGTTTCTTCCCAGGGTGATTCCCCAACTATTGATAATATGCACAATAGGTCTGGCATGCCTTTTCCAAATAGCAACCTCGCAGAAAAAAAAGAAGAAAAAAAAAGCTGTGTGACTCTGGTCTGTGAAAGGCGTTATATAATTTAATATGCATCCCTTTGATACAGGACAGTATACATTTATCACCTCATAGACTAAGTGGCTGAAGTGTCTTGCCCAAGGACACAACGACAGCAGACATCAGTGGGAGTCTCACAGTGGGAGAAGGTCTCGCGGTGGACTTGAACCCACAACCTTCAGGCTCTACCAACTGAGCCACTGAGCCACACATCAAGTGAGAGAGAAGGGAGTCCCAGGTGTGAGCCAAGGGGAAGGCCCCCACGTCTGTGTTCATGGTCTGTGTTCATGGTCTCTGTTCATGGTCTGTGTTCATTGTCTGTGTTCATTGTCTGTGTTCATGGTCTGTGTTCATGGCCTGTGTTCATGGTCTGTGTTCATGGTCTCTGTTCATGGTCTGTGTTCATGGTCTGTGTTCATGGCCTGTGTTCATGGTCTCTGTTCATGGTCTCTGTTCATGGTCTCTGTTCATTGTCTGTGTTCATGGTCTCTGTTCATGGTCTGTGTTCATGGTCTGTGTTCATGGCCTGTGTTCATGGTCTGTGTTCATGGTCTCTGTTCATGGTCTGTGTTCATGGTCTGTGTTCATGGCCTGTGTTCATGGTCTCTGTTCATGGTCTCTGTTCATGGTCTGTGTTCATGGTCTGTGTTCATGGTCTCTGTTCATGGTCTCTGTTCATGGTCTCTGTTCATGGTCTGTGTTCATGGTCTCTGTTCATGGTCTCTGTTCATGGCCTGTGTTCATGGTCTCTGTTCATGGTCTGTGTTCATGGTCTCTGTTCATGGTCTCTGTTCATGGTCTCTGTTCATGGTCTGTGTTCATGGTCTGTGTTCATGGTCTCTGTTCATGGTCTGTGTTCATGGTCTGTGTTCATGGTCTCTGTTCATGGTCTGTGTTCATGGTCTCTGTTCATGGTCTGTGTTCATGGTCTCTGTTCATGGTCTGTGTTCATGGTCTCTGTTCATGGTCTGTGTTCATGGTCTGTGTTCATGGTCTGTGTTCATGGTCTGTGTTCATGGTCTCTGTTCATGGTCTGTGTTCATGGTCTCTGTTCATGGTCTGTGTTCATGGTCTGTGTTCATGGTCTCTGTTCATGGTCTCTGTTCATGGTCTCTGTTCATGGTCTCTGTTCATTGTCTCTGTTCATGGTCTGTGTTCATGGTCTCTGTTCAAGGTCCGTGTTCATGGTCTCTGTTCATGGTCTCTGTTCATTGTCTCTGTTCATGGTCTGTGTTCATTGTCTGTGTTCATGGTCTGTGTTCATGGTATGTGTTAATGGTCTGTGTTCATGGTCTCTGTTCATGGTCTCTGTTCATGGTCTGTGTTCATGGTCTCTGTTCATGGGCTGTGTTCATGGTCTGTGTTCATGGTCTGTGTTCATTGTCTCTGTTCATGGTCTCTGTTCATGGTCTCTGTTCATGGTCTGTGTTCATGGTCTCTGTTCATGGTCTCTGTTCATGGTCTGTGTTCATGGTCTGTGTTCATGGTCTGTGTTCATGGTCTCTGTTCATGGTCTGTGTTCATGGTCTGTGTTCATGGTCTGTGTTCATGGTCTGTGTTCATGGTCTCTGTTCATGGTCTGTGTTCATGGTCTGTGTTCATGGTCTGTGTTCATGGTCTGTGTTCATGGTCTGTGTTCATGGTCTCTGTTCATGGTCTGTGTTCATGGTCTGTGTTCATGGTCTGTGTTCATGGTCTGTGTTCATGGTCTCTGTTCATGGTCTCTGTTCATGGTCTGTGTTCATGGTCTGTGTTCATGGTCTGTGTTCATGGTCTGTGTTCATGGTCTGTGTTCATGGTCTCTGTTCATGGTCTGTGTTCATGGTCTCTGTTCATGGTCTGTGTTCATGGTCTGTGTTCATGGTCTCTGTTCATGGTCTCTGTTCATGGTCTCTGTTCATGGTCTCTGTTCATTGTCTCTGTTCATGGTCTGTGTTCATGGTCTCTGTTCAAGGTCCGTGTTCATGGTCTCTGTTCCTGGTCTCTGTTCATTGTCTCTGTTCATGGTCTGTGTTCATGGTCTGTGTTCATGGTCTGTGTTCATGGTATGTGTTAATGGTCTGTGTTCATGGTCTCTGTTCATGGTCTCTGTTCATGGTCTGTGTTCATGGTCTCTGTTCATGGGCTGTGTTCATGGTCTGTGTTCATGGTCTGTGTTCATTGTCTCTGTTCATGGTCTCTGTTCATGGTCTCTGTTCATGGTCTGTGTTCATGGTCTCTGTTCATGGTCTCTGTTCATGGTCTCTGTTCATGGTCTCTGTTCATGGTCTCTGTTCATGGTCTGTGTTCATGGTCTGTGTTCATGGTCTCTGTTCATGGTCTGTGTTCATGGTCTGTGTTCATGGTCTGTGTTCATGGTCTGTGTTCATGGTCTCTGTTCATGGTCTGTGTTCATGGTCTGTGTTCATGGTCTGTGTTCATGGTCTCTGTTCATGGTCTGTGTTCATGGTCTGTGTTCATGGTCTGTGTTCATGGTCTGTGTTCATGGTCTCTGTTCATGGTCTCTGTTCATGGTCTGTGTTCATGGTCTGTGTTCATGGTCTGTGTTCATGGTCTGTGTTCATGGTCTCTGTTCATGGTCTGTGTTCATGGTCTGTGTTCATGGTCTCTGGGAAATTAACATGGAAACTTAACTGGGAGATTTTGGAAATCCCGAAAGAGCAGGTATCACACATTAAGATTAAAACTAATAAATGAAGTGCAGAGAATCAAAACGTCCAAAAATCTAAATTTAAAGCTGCACTAACTCACTCTGAGACATTTTCTAGTGTGAGCGCTGGCCTCTCTCTCCTGCTCCCCCTCCCCCTCCCCCTCCCCGCACGGAGCTGTCATAGTAAGGTCTGGATTGTCTACATTGACTCCGTGAACAGGTGGGAGGGGCTAACTCGTTTTGCAGATTGAAACGATTGGATCTGAGTTTACTGTGACGTATGTAATAAGCCCGAGTGAGTCGTTAGCATTTAGCCTAGCTTTAGCAATCTCCTTTGCCGCTAACAGAGCCCGTGGGGAGTAACGCTACAACTTTTCCAGCGATTACATTTGCTAAACATTCCTCTTGCTCCGGCTTCAGTTTCTTGATAGAACCAGACCAGATTATTTTACTATCGCATTCTTCCCCAAACTACGACCTGCCCGTTCGACGCTAATTCTTGACGTCACCCACAACTAACTACAACACCCGCCTCCCGCGCTCTCTGATTGGTCGGTCGAAATTCCACCGATTGTATTCGCAAACACAGGGACCAGACCCAGACGTTACCTGCAGGACATGATGACTGAGCAGAGAGTACAGATGGATAAGACCAGACTAGAATCCACCCAATATCTCAGAAAACCTCTGCAGAAGAGTCAAACCATTAATCAAAACTTTCAGATCATTTATTAATAAAGTCCTGTATCAAAGGGTTCTAAGTCCTGTATCAAAGGGTTCTAAGTCCTGTTTCAAAGGGTTCTAAGTCCTGTATCAAAGGGTTCTAAGTCCTGTTTCAAAGGGTTCTAAGTCCTGTATCAAAGGGTTCTAAGTCCTGTTTCAAAGGGTTCTAAGTCCTGTATCAAAGGGTTCTAAGTCCTGTATCAAAGGGTTCTAAGTCCTGTATCAAAGGGTTCTAAGTCCTGTATCAAAGGGCTTCTAAGTCCTGTATCAAAGGGATGCAGGTACCATTGTGTAAGAATCTGTCGTAGCATTCAAAGTCAGGTATCAAAGGGTTTAAAGTCCTGTATCAAAGGGTTCTAAGTCCTGTATCAAAGGGTTCTAAGTCCTGTATCAAAGGGTTCTAAGTCCTGTATCAAAGGGTTCTAAGTCCTGTATCAAAGGGTTCTAAGTCCTGTTTCAAAGGGTTCTAAGTCCTGTATCAAAGGGTTCTAAGTCCTGTTTCAAAGGGTTCTAAGTCCTGTATCAAAGGGTTCTAAGTCCTGTTTCAAAGGGTTCTAAGTCCTGTATCAAAGGGTTCTAAGTCCTGTTTCAAAGGATTCTAAGTCCTGTATCAAAGGGTTCTAAGTCCTGTTTCAAAGGGTTCTAAGTCCTGTATCAAAGGGTTCTAAGTCCTGTATCAAAGGGTTCTAAGTCCTGTATCAAAGGGTTCTAAGTCCTGTATCAAAGGGTTCTAAGTCCTGTATCAAAGGGTTCTAAGTCCTGTATCAAAGGGTTCTAAGTCCTGTATCAAAGGGTTCTAAGTCCTGTATCAAAGGGTTCTAAGTCCTGTATCAAAGGGTTCTAAGTCCTGTTTCAAAGGGTTCTAAGTCCTGTATCAAAGGGCTTCTAAGTCCTGTATCAAAGGGATGCAGGTACCATTGTGTAAGAATCTGTCGTAGCATTCAAAGTCAGGTATCAAAGGGTTTAAAGTCCTGTATCAAAGGGTTCTAAGTCCTGTATCAAAGGGTTCTAAGTCCTGTATCAAAGGGTTCTAAGTCCTGTATCAAAGGGTTCTAAGTCCTGTATCAAAGGGTTCTAAGTCCTGTTTCAAAGGGTTCTAAGTCCTGTATCAAAGGGTTCTAAGTCCTGTTTCAAAGGGTTCTAAGTCCTGTATCAAAGGGTTCTAAGTCCTGTTTCAAAGGGTTCTAAGTCCTGTATCAAAGGGTTCTAAGTCCTGTTTCAAAGGGTTCTAAGTCCTGTATCAAAGGGTTCTAAGTCCTGTTTCAAAGGGTTCTAAGTCCTGTATCAAAGGGTTCTAAGTCCTGTATCAAAGGGTTCTAAGTCCTGTTTCAAAGGGTTCTAAGTCCTGTATCAAAGGGTTCTAAGTCCTGTTTCAAAGGGTTCTAAGTCCTGTATCAAAGGGTTCTAAGTCCTGTATCAAAGGGTTCTAAGTCCTGTATCAAAGGGTTCTAAGTCCTGTATCAAAGGGTTCTAAGTCCTGTATCAAAGGGTTCTAAGTCCTGTATCAAAGGGTTCTAAGTCCTGTATCAAAGGGTTCTAAGTCCTGTATCAAAGGGTTCTAAGTCCTGTATCAAAGGGTTCTAAGTCCTGTATCAAAGGGTTCTAAGTCCTGTTTCAAAGGGTTCTAAGTCCTGTATCAAAGGGCTTCTAAGTCCTGTCCTACTACTACTATTGCTGTTGTACTGGACAGAAATGTGTGTCAAAATGAACACAGAAAAAACGTGTTTATAATCCGTCCATCTCCGTTTGCTGCACATCTCTCAAAACATCAGAACCGCCGCGTTGCCGTTCGCGCGCCGCAGCTTGAAACTCCTTTGCAGTCTGTCTTTCTCTCTCTGCTCTCGTCCGATCGTAGCGGCGTCTCTGACAGTTTCTCTGCGTCGTGGCTAAACTGAGGAGATTTCTGTGAGACGGCGTTGTCAACAACAGCATATGGGACGTTAATTGCTTCGCTAACACAAACACTCGCCTTATCTCGTTAGTTTCTTGTCAGATTTGTGTGTCGCTCTGACGTCTGCAGATAAAAGACGGAAAATAATCAGCGGCGGCCGGAGTCTAAACGGCGAGACTGACGGTTTGGTGATTTCACCAAAGATGGGAAAGGATCGACTCTTCACAGACAGTCTACTCTTCAAACGCTGATTCTTACACAATGGTACATGTATCAAAGGATCAAAGGATCAAAGGTTCAAAGTCATGTATCAAAGGGTTCTAAGTCATGTATCAAAGGGTTCTAAGTCCTGTTTCAAAAGGTTCTAAGTCCTGTATCAAAGGGATGCAGGTATCATTGTGTGAGATTCTGTCGTAGCATTCAAAGTCAGGTATCAAAGGGTTTAAAGTCATGTATCAAAGGGTTCTAAGTCCTGTATCAAAGGGTTCTAAGTCATGTTTCAAAGGGTTCTAAGTCCTGTATCAAAGGGCTTCTAAGTCCTGTATCAAAGGGATGCAGGTATCATTGTGTGAGATTCTGTCGTAGCATTCAAAGTCAGGTATCAAAGGGTTTAAAGTCATGTATCAAAGGGTTCTAAGTCCTGTATCAAAGGGTTCTAAGTCCTGTTTCAAAGGGTTCTAAGTCCTGTATCAAAGGGATGCAGGTACCATTGTGTGAGAATCTGTCGTAGCATTCAAAGTCAGGTATCAAAGGGTTTAAAGTCATGTATCAAAGGGTTCTAAGTCCTGTATCAAAGGGTTCTAAGTCCTGTTTCAAAGGGTTCTAAGTCCTGTATCAAAGGGCTTCTAAGTCCTATATCAAAGGGCTTCTAAGTCCAGTATCAAAGGGATGCAGGTATCATTGTGTGAGAATCTGTCATAGCATTCAAAGTCAGGTATCAAAGGGTTTAAAGTCATGTATCAAAGGGTTCTAAGTCCTGTATCAAAGGGTTCTAAGTCCTGTTTCAAAGGGTTCTAAGTCCTGTATCAAAGGGCTTCTAAGTCATGTATCAAAGGGATGCAGGTACCATTGTGTGAGAATCTGTCCAAGCATTCAAAGTCAGGTATCAAAGGGTTTTAAGTCCTGTATCAAAGGGTTCTAAGTCCTGTATCAAAGGGTTCTAAGTCCTGTTTCAAAGGGTTCTAAGTCCTGTTTCAAAGGGTTCTAAGTCCTGTATCAAAGGGTTCTAAGTCCTGTATCAAAGGGATGCAGGTACCATTGTGTGAGAATCTGTCCTAGCATTCAAAGTAAGGTATCAAAGGTTCAAAGTCCTGGGTTTGAATCCCAACCAGGACCTTTCTGAGTGAACTTTGCATGTTCTCCCCATGCCTGCTCCGGTTTCCTCCAGGTGTTCCGGTTTCCCCTACCACTAAAAACATGCTCTATAGGTCTGAATGTAATGAGTGAGTGAATGGTGTTTGGTCGGAGGCTTTGATGGACCAGTGTGTTCGGGTCTCGCTTCCGTCCTCACCGTGGATGACTGAAAAATCTGATTTCTGAACATTGTGAAGCACCTTGGTCTGTAAAATGCGCTATATAAATAAACATCACATACTTCTTCATATAACTCTGTGCATATTAAATGACACTAATGACATAAAACCTGTGATTTTTCTCCTTTTCTATCCAGTTCTTTAGTTTTTCTGTACTTTTAGAAGTCACGAAGTGTGAGTGTGTTTCGCTGACAGCGCGGCTTTTTCCCAAAGTCACTGAAATGTTTGGACCAAATCAAGGAGACGAGCGTCGTTTGACATTCACAAAAAACAAAAAGAAACGTGTCCAAATGTGTTGTTGCTGATTTAGACGTTATGTTCCGTCGGGTTTGTTTCACGGGAAAAGTGAATGGGCCGAGTTCAAGAACAGAAAACGCTGCGAGGAGGTTCTGCTGATCTGCACAATGACTCGTGCAGGTCTCTGTGTGAGGGACGGACTCGTGCTGGTCTCTGTGTGAGGGACGGACTCGTGCTGGTCTCTGTGTGAGGGACAGACTCGTGCTGGTCTCTGTGTGAGGGACGGACTCGTGCTGGTCTCTGTGTGAGGGACGGACTCGTGCTGGTCTCTGTGTGAGGGACGGACTCGTGCGGGTCTCTGTGTGAGGGACGGACTCGTGCTGGTCTCTGTGTGAGGGACGGACTCGTGCTGGTCTCTGTGTGAGGGACGGACTCGTGCTGGTCTCTGTGTGAGGGACGGACTCGTGCTGGTCTCTGTGTGAGGGACGGACTCGTGCTGGTCTCTGTGTGAGGGACGGACTCGTGCTGGTCTCTGTGTGAGGGACGGACTCGTGCTGGTCTCTGTGTGAGGGACGGACTCGTGTCTCTAGTCTCTCTCCCTCTCACTGGTCTCTCTCCAGTCTCTCTCTCCCTCTCATCTCTCTCCAGTCTCTCTCTCTCTCACTCTGGTCTCTCTCCAGTCTCTCTCTCCCTCTCACTCTGGTCTCTCTCCAGTCTCACTGTGGTCTCTCTGTGGTCTCTCTCTCTCTTTAGTCTCTGTCTCTCTAATCTCTCACCCTGGTCTCTATATGGTCTTTCTCTCTTTGTGTCCTCTCTCCAGTCCCTTTCTGGTCTCTCTCTTTCTTTGGTCTCTGTCTCTCTAATCTCACACTCAGTGGTCTCTCTCTCTGGTCTCTCTCTCTTCTCTCTCTCTGGTCTCTCTCTTTTGTCTCTGTCTACTTAGACTCTCTCTCTAATCTCTCACACTGGTCTCTATCTGGTCTCTGTGTTGTTCATCAAAACAAACTCTCAAACAAGTTATTTCCAATGAACAGATGAGCTTGTGCTCAGCTTTAATTGCATGGCCAACAAACATCATTTATCACAGGAAGTGCTCTCTTACTTTGTGCTCTCTGACTGACATCCACTGACTTGACTCACTAGGGACACCACCAGGCTGGTAAAATGCATGACACTGAATGCATATCAAGACATCTCCCTTTCTTTAAAGTCAGAATCCTTACACAATGCAAAGAATAAAACATTGTAAACATGTTATTTAGCTTAGCTCACTGTTATTTTTGTTTTTATATCACCAAGTGCAAAAACAGAATTTTTTTTTTTAAGATTGTTTTTTTCTTTTTAAGTGATGACCAGTGATCACACGGAAAAACAATAAAAACAACAAAATGTGGTTAACACATTCACAACATCAGTCTATCAGGCTTCTTAGTCTGACGTCCAGACCTTCTCAGAACTGGTGCTGAAGATGCCTCTTCTTCAGTAGATTCCTTTACAGGTATTGTGTCAGTTGGAATAGACACAGCATGTTCATCTTCAACATCACAACTGGACTCTTGGAAGTGTTCCTTGGTCTTCAGAAGGTGACGACGATTCCTTCTGAGAACGCTTCCATCCTCAGTCCTCACTTCATACGACCTTGGACCAACTTCCTGAAGAACTGTTGCTTTTCGATTCCAGGCATCTTGGTCTCGAATTCTCACAACATCCTCCTTTGCAAGAGTTGAGAGAGGTTTGGTCGATCTGTCAAAGTAATGTTTTTGTTTTAATTTGAGCTTGTCCATTTTTGAGTGTATCTCAGTACGTTCTCTCATCTCTGTGTAGCTGGGTAGAGTTGTGCGCAACTTCCGATTCATCAACAGCTCAGCATGAGATAAACCACACTCAAGAGAAGAGGATCTGTAACTCAAGAGAGCAAGATAGGGATCTGATTTGCTGTCCGTGGCCTTTCTCAAAAGCTGTTTGACGATATGCACCCCTTTCTCAGCTTTTCTGTTTGCTTGGGGATGCTGAGGACTGGAGGTCACATGATTAAATCCATACAGTCTAGAAAACTGCTGCCATTCCTTGCAGTTGTAACATGGTCCATTGTCACTTACTACAGTCTCTGGGATTTCGTGTCTGGCAAAAAAAGATTTAACATGTGTAATAACACTTGATGCTGTTGTACTTGTGAGCAAGGCAATTTCAGGATAGTTGGAGTAAAAGGCAATAACTAACAGATAGTCTTTCCCATTATGGTGAAATAGATCAGTTCCTACTTTCTCCCATGGAGCTGCGGGAAGATTTGGAATCAACATAGGCTCCCTTGCTTGTTTGCTCTGGTACTTCTGACAAGTTTCACATTTTCCAATCATATTTTCAATGTTTTTATTAATGCCAGGCCAATAGACTGTATCTCTGGCTCGTCTCTTACATTTTTCGACTCCCAAGTGCCCCTCATGTATTCTCTGTAGAATTTCATTTCTTAAACTCTGAGGAACCACTATCCTTTTTCCCCTTAGCAGTAGTCCATTTGCCACACTGAGCTCTGATCTAAAGTTGTAATATTTTGGACAAGACCCTCTGGGCCAACCACTTTGAATGTGAGAAACAACTGTTTGCAGTTCTGTGTCTCTCATTGTTTCTTCACATATTTGTTTTGATTTTGAATCAGACACTGGTAGGGACTCAACTACCATGTTCACGTGTTCCTCTACCTCTTTCTCTGTGGAACTTGTCTGATTCAGTTCTGTCGCTCGTGACAGCGCGTCTGCCAACACCAAATGTTTGCCTGGTGTATAGATTAATTCAAAGTCATACCTCTGTAGTTTCATGATAAGACGTTGAAATCTGGGTGACATTTCATTCAGGCTCTTCTTAATTATGGACACAAGCGGACGGTGGTCTGTCTCAACTGTAAAAGTAGTAAGGCCATACACATAACAATGAAACTTTTCCAGTCCAAAAGCCAACCCAAGACATTCCTTCTCAATTTGAGCATACTTCATCTCTGTTTTTGTCATGGATCTAGATGCATATGCTATGGGTCTCCTTCAGCTCTCACCTTCTGCTTGGAGCAAGACAGCACCAAGTCCATCCTTTGATGCATCAGTGGAAACTTTCTGTCTTTTCGTGGAATCATAGTAAGCAAGCACAGGTGCAGTAGTTAGTGGTTTTGAGCACGTTCCACTCACGCTCATGTCTTGTGGTCCACTTAAATATTGTTGAGTCATGAAGAAGCTCCCTCAAAGCTGATGTTTTCACTGAGAGATTGGGTACAAACTTCCCAATGAAATTAATCATTCCCATGACTCTGAGTACACATTTTTTATCTGCAGGGCGTGGCATGTTAAGAATGGCTTTTATTTTCTTCTCATCTGGCTCAATACCATGTACAGACATTTTGTCGGCTCAGGGCCAGAAACCCTGAGCCGCATCAAGCTTGGAGAAATATCTAGCTCCTGCCATCTCACTTGCAATCTCCTCACGTTTTGGAATCTGGTAATGCTCACGTTTGATGTTTTGGTTTAGATCACCAGGATCCATGCATATTCTCAGTTCTTTGTTTTGGTTCTTCTTGTCCACACACACCATGGAGTTCACCCACTCTGTTGGTTCCTCCACTTTAGTAATAACCTGCATTTGACACATCCTGTCCAGCTCCTTCTTCAAACGGTCCCGTAATGGTGCAGGAACTCTCCTCGGAGCGTGAATAACTGGCGTCGCATTCTCCTTCAGTTGTATCTTATAGGTGTATGGCAGACAGCCTAAACCTGTAAATACATCCTGATACTGTTGTACAATGCTCTCAACAGTCTGTGAGTGTTCTGGACAGCTAATGTGATAGACTCTTTTAACCAAATGCAGTCTCTTTGAAGCAGACCCACTAAGCAGTGACTCACGACCCTCAGGTACTACTGTAAACAGCACAAAGTACTCTTTATTCTTTACTGTTACTTTTAGTCTGCACTGACCTCTGCTTTCTATTTCTTTTCCATTATAGTCTTTTAGAAGCACATTATTAAGGACTATCTTGGGCTTTTCTTTCATTGCATGAATTTCTGACATGCTGATAAGATTAGCTTGGGCCCCTGTATCAATCCTTAAAGCAACCAATGCTCCATTAATGGGGAGAGACGCAACCCATGTGTCTTCTTTGACTGTGTTAATGTCATTGTCATCTCTAACTTGTGTCTTCTCATCACATAACACCATCCCCACAAAGAAAGTCTCAATTAGGTCTGTTTCATCTACTAACCGTACTGATTTGGATTTGCCTTTTGATAGACATTGCTTTGCAAAATGTTTTTTTCCACTACATTTAGCACATGTTTTCCCATAAGCAGGACACTGTCTGGGTTCATGCCTGTTACCACATCGTTTGCATGAGTATGTTGTGTCATCTGTTTTTCTCTGCATTAGCCTTGCTTTTTGACCACAGCTACTTTAGCACTATCATGGACTGCAGTTGCATTCAATGTAGAATCATTAAATGTCTTTGCATGCTGCTGTGCTAACTCGGTGGCATGGCACATTCTCTCTGCCTCCTCCAAAGTTAGTTTAGCCTCTCTTAGCAGTCTTTCCCTCGTCCTCTTATCATAGATGCCATAGACAATTTGGTCACGTATCATGGAGTCCTTCAAATCTCCAAAATCACAAGACTGTGCTTTAAGTTTCAAATCCGTCACAAAGCAATCAAAAGTCTCATCTTGCTGCTGCATTCTTGATCTGAACACATATCTTTCATATACTGTGTTCTTCTGCGGCGAGCAATGGGCAGTGAACTTTTCCAGAACTTTATCATACTTCTCCTTGTCTCCAGGTTCTTCAAATTCAAAGGTATTGAAGATCTCTATGGCTTGAGGGCCAGCTACAGTGAGCAGAAGAGCAATCTTTCTGGCATCAGACTTGGAATCGAGTCCCAGTGGAGCTACAGTTCAAATTGCTGCTTAAATGTGCGCCAGTTGCTGTCCACATTACCCACAAGCTTCAGTCCTTCTGGTGGCCTCAATGCATCCATCTTGAGCAAAACTGGAGTCAAGCGTTGTATTCACTCCTGGTACCATGTGTTGTTCATCAAAACAAACTCTCAAACAAGTTATTTCCAATGAACAGATGAGCTTGTGCTCAGCTTTAATTGCATGTCCAACAAACATCATTTATCACAGGAAGTGCTCTCTTACTTTGTGCGGCACGGTGGCTGAGTGGATAGCACTCTCGCCTCTCAGCAAGAAGGTCC